CTTCAGGTACAAAAGAGCTATGAGAACACTGGCAAAGAGAAACAAAAAATGCTTGCAATTTAGCTAAGTACTTGCACATGAATTTTGCACAATGCAAAGTCTTTGCCAGGATATTTATGTCAGGACACCTTTCAAGACAATATGTACTTTACCAGCTCCTGCAACAATATAGACACATTGGATCTCAACACAACACTGGATGCAAAGGAAAATACATTGTATACACAGGATTTGCCTTTACATATAGTGTTCTGCAGCTTAGCTGCAAAAAAAATTATGCATAAGACCATGTTTCAATCACCCAAAAGGTCATGTTTCATTGATAAATACAAAGCAGTTGTAGCGATGCAGGTTGAGATATCAGATCTGGCAGGATGGGTACATCGAGTCTGGCTCATAGGACAGGCTTTGGCTGCAGCAGGAAGGGAATATTGCCACGTGGTTGCCAACACAAATTGAGCTGCTGGTGGCCTTACCTTGGCTTGGACTACTGGGGATGCAGATGCTTTAGAGTATGCCAGGACTAGCAACAAACTCTTGGATGTGAACAGCTGTGGATGTGGAAAGGCTAGGTTAATCCACGTACATGGATGGGAAAATGTTGTTCATATTCTCTTAAATACAGGGTTAACCAAAGCAACTAGGGCCTCTGAATAAAAAGCAACCTACCCCACACTCCAAAACTGGTGCTTGACTGGTCCTGATGCTGCCCTTTTCCCAACCTGGAAATGAAATTGGATATCATTTTAGTAAGGAGGTAATATAAAAGTGTATCTTATTTGGAGGCCTTCAGGAGCAGTTAGGGAAAGATGTCCACAAAAAGCCCACCCTCCCAAGGATGAGTACATTTTTATAGATTTTAGGAAATTAGCATAATTGATAAAGAACACCAATTAGGAGGGCAAGTGGTGATGTAATTCTGGAGCCCCCCGCTCAGCACTGGCTGTCCATTAAAATGTATCTCCAAGAGTTGTTCTCAGGAGGAGCCAAGATAGCACTGGGACCTTGTACCTCCGAGGCTTGGAGCTCTGGAATTTGCTTTGTCTTTCTTCCTGGGGAAAAAGCACGGAAAATTACTGGGAAAACTAGCCACTAATACCATAGGCTACAGAGCTACAAATACATGTCTGAAGAATACAGAGAACATATAAAAGAAAAAAGGCAAAAACCAAATGGCATCACTGGTGCTTCAGGCATCACTTTGTCCTTTCCCCAAAGCAGCAGCATGGCCCCAGGCCACTTACACAGCTGTCTGGTCGTGACTGGCCAAATCCAGCCTTCTTTAACAAAAAATTGGCCTTACCCAGGCTGAGGGCAGGCATCTGCCAAGACTGCGGGATCAGACCCCAAACCTGGGAAATGAAACATAGCTCAATCAAAGGCAATGGGGGAAAAAAGCCACCTGGAAAGAGTTAGCCATTCAGTGTGGAGGCAGTGGGGAGGGCATGTTGCTTTAATCTTTTTATAGTATAAAAATTTTGTGACTGAATTAAAGCCCTACTGTTTGGACTGGATGATGTTACGTAATTCTCAGAAACGAGAGCAGCTGGCCACAGTACAGATACCTCCTAGCAAGCCCTGCAGTGCACAGAACATCATTTACCAAGGCTGTAAAAAAATACATTTATTAAGGGGCTTGGGAGTGATATTTGACATGCTGGCTTGGCTTTTAGCTGTCTGGATTTCATTTACAGCTCCTCTGTTTTATTTTCCATTAAAATAAATAAATAAATTAAGCCATCTTTGCCCACTTTTCCTAACTGCTTTTTGGCATGCTTGTAGGTAAATCTAGTGTGGAGAGCCCAGAGGTATTGATGAGAGTGTTGCTAACCTTGTAATGGCAATGTAACTAAATAAGCAAGGGCAAAATCCACATTCAGGAGGACGTGGAAAAAGGCAGACAGGGGTGAGGGAGGGGGCAGAAAAGTCATAGATGTGGGGACTGTGTTCTGCCATTTAGATACAGGACAGTTTTTGTTGCTCATGCAGTTGCCAAAATGGACTCTGAGCTCATCCTGGTGTTCTTGCCCTGCTTTGCACAGGTGGATGGTGACACTGGCTGCACTTATGCAACCCATCCTGAATTTCCCACAGCACTCAAGTCTGACAGCAATGCAGGTGTCAATCATCTACCCGTAGATTATGTGGTTGAGAAATAGATGATGTTATTTTTTTAATACTGTTTCCCAGTGTGATTAGGAGCCCTTGGAAAATACGTCTCTGGATTGGCCAATCAGCCATGCTCCAAAACCTGTTGGAAAGTCAGACCCTTTTCCCAGGAAATTTCTCATTAAAAAATAAAATAATATAATCCCCCATCCCCAGCTTATTCCAGTAACACCATCTACAACTACGTACTTAAGGTACATAAGTAAAATATTAGAAAGCATGCGAATGTAAGTACCTGAAATGTTAAAGAGTTAAATCTATAAGTTCAAATTTGAAGGTCTTGGAAAATGCACATGATAGCATTGGGCATAGAAGGAATCTCAATTCTTCCACACTTTGGAAATCAGATTAGCTCCTTATAGGAATTTATATAGGCCAAATTTTGTGTAGCCATCCCTCCCTGTGGTACTTGCCACCAGAAACACAATTGTTTAGGAGCCGTTGCTGGATATTTTATCCCTGTATTTGGTGTTCTAGGATTTTAAGAATGGCCTGATGCTTTACCTTCCCTATGCTGGCAGACAACTGCTTACCTAGCAGTGTGCTGGGCTCCTAAAGCAAGTGCAGTGATCAGTGCTGATGGTTGGACTCTGGGAAGAGGAATGCAGCTTTCTGACCCCCTCATAGGCACCATACCAGACATGAGCTGGGCCAGCCATAGTGCTTACTGTGGGTTTGCACCCTGCCTGTGCTATTACCATTTTCAAAGTGTGATTTTTTTCCTCCTGGCTGAAAGATCCCAGCAGATTTTGGCAGAGCAGCTAGTACAGAGGAGGACATATGTGCCACCATCCAGCATCAGCTAACTGGGTGCTGGTAATTTGTCACTTTGGTATTAACTTAACTGGGCAGGATGTGAGCAGCAGGGTCAGAAAGCAGCATCAGGTGGGCAAGGGTCCCAGCAGCACACTGGGCAGCACAAGAAAAGCACTAAGGGCAGTATTCTGACTCTGGAAGTTAATGTGCTAGCTTCAGCCGGAGCCATGTGAATCTAACTGCTGCCAGAGGACAGGCCCCAAAGTTTCGTATTTCTCCAAATGAAGTATAAAAATAATTATGAGCTTAGCCTGCAAAATTTGGATCTAAATTCATAACCATCTGGTGTGAATGGCCTGAAGTGAAACTTCAGACAAAGGTTTCGTTTTACTTATTATTCATGAGAAAAGCCTCTGGCCAGTCACTGCAGCTTTGCTTACTACTGATGGAGCTTTATACCTTCTGCCTCCCTGAGGGGTAAGGGGATCCAGAAGCCTGATGCTGCTCTGCTTTGATTTTAGGCAGGTGGGATTGCCTGGAGCACACAGAAGAATTAAGAAGCTCAATATAATATTTATTCTCTCACCATTTTCACTTCACTGGCATTAAACTTAATCTTCCTACAAGTTCCTGCTCAGGAGTTTATTGAATGACAAAAAGGTTTCCATGCTGAAATTAACTCTTTCTACTTATCTGTGAGCAAAAGCTGTTTTTAGGGTCTTTGTCAAAACAAATCGCAGCTGCATAGAGCTCAGAACTGGGTGGAAGGACTATGTGGAAAGCATAAACTTCCTTCAGTTCAACTGGAATTTTGCAGACAAAGCCTTCCCATCCCAAATAGTGGGGACAGATGCTCTAATTCTGAACAGGGCAAACAGAAGATGGCAACATGGTGAGGTATGTTGATAAGGAGAAACATACAGATAAAAGTGGCAAACAAGATCTCAGGCTTTTCTGACAATTCCAAGAGAAACTTCCATGCTTATTAAAGTTTCTGATGGAGACTTTTAGACATTGCTGTGTGGTCCAGAAGGTGTTACTCACTAAGCATGAGAAATTTGAGTAAGAAATGGCAGTGCTATTGAGCCTGCTTCCGTACAGACATTCTGGCTTTTCCATTAAAAATTTTAGGTCAAAACTCAAATGTTCCAGGTGGGAAATTTTTCTTCTCTGCTTTTCTATATGTGGTCCAAGTACAGCAGCTTGTGAAGACCATCAGGGTTGTGCTTCTGGATCAAAATAAGTTTTCAGCAAAAATACTTCAGTTGTTATTTCTGGCCAACAGTCCCCCCTACCTCACCCCTCCCCCACCAAAACCAAAAAACTACAACGACAACGACAGCAACAACAAAGAACGGGGGAGGCGGAGGGAATGCTTATTTTGCTTATCTGCAAAGTGCCCAGTAACCATATTTCCACAAAAGAAGCAAGAGCTGTAGAAATGAAAAGCCACTTTAAAAATCTACTTTTCCACTGCAATCTCATCTTCCTAAAGTTTTTGCCAGTCATTCTCTCATACCTTAATGCTTAATGTTAGACATTTTCCCCTTGGGGCAGCTTGTTGTGGTGTGGAAAATGCCAGTGTTTGCAGCGCTCTGTGGCAAGTCTTTGTCACTGCAATCAGACTGAGTTTATCTGACCCTTGACCTTCATGGCACATGTCCATACTGGTGGTCCTTAATGGTTTGGAAAAATTTTAACAGGAGGTCATCCTGGGCAGGGCAGCATGGTAGCTTGCTGCTTTTTTGCTGTAAGCTGTTCCATCTGCATGCTACTGAAGAGTTTGCTCTCAGTTTTCGTGCACATTACCTCCTCTGAGGCTTTGGACTTGACACAGAAATCTCCTGAGGTAAGCTTTTGGTCTGTAAGGTGCAGAATGAATACTTTTTTTCGGAACCTTTTTTTTTCCTCCTCATCTCTTTGACAAGACTTTCACTCATTTGGAAGCCTGTTGCATGTTCTGCTTTTATTTATGGAGCTCTGACTTACATCAAGTCTCACTGGGGAGGGAGTACCCCCATGTCAGCACCAGCCTCAACTTTACATTATCATGGCACCTTTATCTTCTCTTACAGTGTTTGCCAGAATCCTGAAGGCTCCTGAATCCCAAAACATCACCTTTGGGTCTGTGGTGACATTGCGGTGCACAGCGACAGGTCTTCCAGTCCCTACTGTCACCTGGCTGGAAAACGGGAAAGCTGTAAGTGCCTCTTTTTCAGGCTTTTGGCACTGGAGGACTTCTATCAGCTGGAAGCACAACAGGGCTGGTAGTCAGCACCAGTGGTTTCTATTTCTTCCTAACTCAGCACCTTGTTTTTCAAACTGGTTGAGTCCAGCTCATCTCACTGCTGCAGTTTTCTCCTCTGAAAAAACGTTGTCCCCTTCTCCTGGGTGTTGTATGACTTCATTTGTTAGGATATGGAAAGCCCAAGATGAGGGGTGCTCTAGACCCTTTCGACCTTCCTCCAAGACAGAATTTCTTGGACTATGTTGTGTGTTTCTGCAGCTATCTTTCCTTTCCTTTTTTAATAATGTGGTAACAATAACAAGGCAAAATTGCGTATTTGACAAAGGAACACAAACCAAGAAGTCAGATAAAGCAAACTGTCTCCAGGTCAAATACCTGTGGAGCAGCATTATGCACAGCATATTTAAAGAAGAGAGTAGATCTGAAATTTTTCTAGACTGACCTAGGTGATGTGAAATATGTCATCAATTTATCTCTGGCCAGAAGCATGTTCTTAAGAAAGGCACACCCTCTTCAGTGGCAGGAACCAAGGGATGCAAATCAACTGTGTCTCGTAGGAAAGATTCCATGGTGTTTAATGATCCTGACCACTTAATGTGGGTGCTTGCTTTCAATTCGCCTGGCTTTCAGGCCTGTTTGTGGGCTATTGCAACACCTTCATTTCAGTGAACTGAAGACCTGCTTGATGCCTGGTATTGCCCTTGTGGGACTGAGCAGGGCATCACAGTCACATCAGCTCTGCAGCCCAAGCCTGCCATGGGTTCTCTCTAGTTCCTTCATGTGCTTAAGGTGAACATATTTTATGCTCTCTTTGGTCTTTTGACAACTTTTTAAAGGATGTGAGCCCCAGAGTGTGATTCTGTGGAGGCGGGTGGAGTTTCTGTTGAATGCAGGCTGGCAATTTGCCTTTGCTCTTTCTCACTGACCTCCTGTCAACCCCAAATCCTTCTGAGCACAGGCTGATCCTGACCATTCCTGTGGACTTGCTTGTCCAGAGGACCAATAAACCCCCTTGGTTCTTACTTCAGGGGGCTATCACAGTCCTGGTTTGTATATCCTCTTTCCATACATTAAAACATATTATTAAAACCCCATAATTACTTTGCAGGCTGTCTTGCCCTTCTTGCCTCCTCAATACCTTATTGTGTCCTCCAGTCTGATTAGGGCTATTTTTCTGTATTCCAGCAATGTTGCTAGGCAGATCAGCAAAGGGATCAGATCAGCCTCTGCTGAGACCCATGGGTGCTTGGTGGTTTCTGACAAGTTTGAGACAACTGCAGGTATTTATTTAAGACCTGTTCCCCACTGGGAATGAAACCTTTTCAGGAGTCTAGGGTGCCTGGCAAGAGCAGTATATTTCCAGAGCACTGACTTGTGCTCTGCCGAGATCCCGATGCGTGGGTCCCACAGAGAGCTGAGGTGCATGAGATGATGCTCAGCCCCTGCCTGGGCCACTGCCTGACTGGTCATATCTGCTCTGCCTCATTCCTGTCTGAAAGGCATAGCCCAGTCCCAGGAGGGTAGTGCTCAGATTGCCTCATTTTAAATATAGCAAGGAAACCTTAATGAGAGCTCTGGGAGAGTTAGCAGGAAATCCAGTGGACTGGAGATGGTGAATTTGAGGGTTGGTTCACAGTAATGGTGAGTCATTTGAAGATACAGCATGCCTGTGGCAGTATGGTCTCTGAACATTGACCTGTAATTGTCCTGAGGCTCAAAGAACAGGAGTCTGCTGAGCTTACTGAGCTGCCTTCAAAGAGGAGGATGGAAACTCCTCTGTGCAGCAGCTGCCTGGCCTACCTAAATAGAAACACAATTCATTTTCCTCCTGCTATGCACCACAGGACATCATGGACCTTATAATGTAGTTTTCCACATATCCAGGAATAAATGAGCCAGGTGTGAAGATATGAAGAGGTCTCTAATTTCCTGGTAGCTGAGGTGATGTTTTAAAGGCTAAAAAGAGTACTCCTGGAAACAAAATCTCAGGAAATGTGCTTTAAAAGGAATCAATTAACACAAGGGAACATTTTGAAGTTTCCATTAAAGAAAACAACAGATGGCCAGTGTGAAGTCCTAGGCCCACAGTCCTGCCTATGATTTTCCACTGTATATGCTGCATACTGCTTGTACTGCTTGCAGTTACCTGAGCAACCTCTTCTTCCTGCATCCCAAGCCAGAAGGAGCAATCCCAGATTTCTGTGCTCGGCAGGCGCAGTCCAGTGTTGCCATACATGGTACACCCGAGGCCTGAGGAGCCAGCAGGGAGAGAAGACTGGGTTAGCACAAGCTGCTCATGGCAAGCAGCCACCTATCCCACCAAGATGCTGGAAGGCGGGAGTGGCCTGCAGGAAGCATCTCCTTCCTACTGAGAACGTTCCTGCACCATTTTAGTGTTGAGTGATTTCTGGAGAGAAAACTATTCTGAAACTAAATTTGAGCAGCTCTGTAATATAGAGATACCTGTGAAAAAATATCCCCTGGACTCCCACCCTCTTGAACTGATTTCATGTTATAAGGCAAAAAATATCCCTAGTCCCTCCATTTGCACAATGGCTGACATACCTGGTGCAGTACATACTGAGTATGCTGGTCTGATTATTTACTGATTTCTTTCCATGAACGTTCTGTCACCACAGCTCCAAGCTGACTATGAGTGAGGCAAAACAAATATATTCTTTTCAGCATTTTCTTTTCATAGAAAATCCAATCTGCTTACAAGACATGTTACAACACTGATGAGTTCCTTCTTGCTTTTTTAAATATTGCTGTCAATACCTGTGGGTATTTAATTTTACTGAAAGATCTCATTGAAAGCATGTTTTTACCAACCTGCAAGAAGGTCAGATTGATATCTCTCTTAGTTACACGTGTAGGTAGAGAGCTTTGCTGGGACGGATCCAGGAAGATAATCTGCAATATCCTTAGAGTGAGGTCATACCTATGGGATCCACAAGGAATATACCTCACTTGAATTACATTTGATGCTTCCTATCAGTATGATGGTTAGAGCAGGCAATGCTATCCTTCCTTCTGCTGGTGTAAGATATAGTGTGCATGTACCACACTCCTACTTTAATGAATGCCATGTTGGCAGGAAAGACTTGATGGCAAATCAAGTTCAACTGGCCAAAATTAGCAGGCTTCAAGATCATTTAACTGGGAATTACTGATCTGGGAAAAGAGCTGGCTAATACCATCGTATTTGCAGCCCTTTCTGTATTTCCAGTTGCAAGATAAGAAAATCTACCATATTTCTGCTGAAATATTGGAGCCAGAGCACTTTCTTTGCTCATGACTGATTTGAGAATATGGCAGTTGTTATATTAATCCAGAATCAATGACTTTCAAATTATTTTCTTTTCTTCCTCTGTTTAGCGGATGTTCACAAAGCCATCTTGTGTCATTCCTTGCTAAGGCATGAAGAGGCAGTCTACTACAAGAAGCCCTGTAGTAATTAGCCACCTCAATTACATAAACGAAATTGTGACTATGACTCTTGAACTGGAACCTAATTGCAAAAGCAATGCTGAAGTGTGAAATAGGAGAGATCTTTTAGCATTTATTTTTGTGTGTGAAGTCAGCTGCTATGAAAGCACTGAAGTAATGCCAGCAGCTTTAGCTCTCTGCCACTTTTGTCTCCTTGCCGCATCTTCCTCTGCTAATTTAAATGTTTGGGGCTCTGTCTCTTAGATTTTTCCTTGGTTTGCTTGTTTGTGTCTTTGTTGGAAATGTTACTGCACTGGGCTTTCACTCTTTTAGGTTTCTGCGGGGTCCATAGCAGAAAGTGTCAAGGACAGAGTGGTTGATTCCAGACTGCAGGTGTATGTCACCCGACCTGGCCTGTTCACTTGTCTTGCCACAAACAAGCACAGCAAAACTTTTGGAGCCGCAAAAGCAGCAGCAACCATCAGCATTTCAGGTATGCAGGGAAAGAGATCATTAATTTTTTTAGCCTTTCCTGCTGGGGAAGAGGAAAGGGGTGTGGAGTACTCTGGAGGAAGAGGGGAAGCCTTGGAGAGATTATAATGTCCAGGGGCCTAAATTTGAGTACAAGTACATCCTCCACCAGGCTATTTCCTCATATACTCTTACACTTTGGAGACGGGCATAGCTGTCATTTCCTGAATGTTTGATGATGTCTTGTACTTTGTGTCCCAGAAGCACATTTGGTAAGTTCATCCATGTGAAGGAAGTCGTGGTCATGACCCAGCGTTGGTATCATCTAACAGCAAAGTGAAAATAGCTCCAAGCTTCACAAGAGGTTGGCATTCAGAAAGCAGGATGGTTGCTGTCAGAGTAGTACCCTGCCTTGCCTGGAATTATCTGTTCTCTCAGGGACATCTCGCAAATGTGAAAATGAATTTCCAAAGAAGAGAAATACCTCTGGCAGAGTTAACTAACAGCATTTGTCATACACCCCTCTTTTGACAGACAGGAGAATTTAGTTAGAGGAAAGAGGAATCACACAAGACATGGGATGTAGCCCAGGTCCTGCTTTTAACCAGTCAGGTACTTGTTCATCTCTCTTCTTCTCCAAGAAGCCTTAGCTTCTGCTTTCTTGAGAAAAAAATCATCATGCTCTTTCTTTCACTGGGCATTGAAATTAATAACAGGAAACTCTGCCCCATGAGGTACTCAGCACTTGGTGATGTATTTACCATCCCCACTTCTGCTTTTAGCACAGGCAAGTCTGTCTCCAACAACTGCAGTGGAGCAGGCAGGTACTTTGGGCAGGTGGAAGTTGTACTCCTCCAGGCTGCGTTTGCTGAGCAGGAGGAGAACACCACGCTAGACCTACCTGAACAGGAGTCTGTCTTGGCCTTGCCCCAGCTCACAAGGCTCCCAGGACAGAGGTGCCATGGCCTTTGGCTGATGGCCAGTGCCTCCTCCCTGTGCTGGCATTGCCCAGTTCCCTGTGGCACTGCAAGCTGGGGCCATGCTGTGTGCCAGTGCTGCATTTCCAGCCCTGGCTTCTCCTACTTGTTACAGCTGCTGCTTGAAGTAATGGATACCTATGTGGCTTAAACAGAGGATGCTGCCTGCTGGTTACATAGGACCCAAAGGATCAGCATAAAAGGGTTTATGGTGCAGGAGTCCACTTCAGCTGGCACTGCTATCAACAATCCACTTCCTCCTCCTCATTCTTTCTCACTTTACAGTGTTCAGTGTTGGCCTACTTTTCTTCCCCATGAGAAGATACAAAAAAAAGGAACAGAATTTAGGCCCATTTTTTTTCATACAGCTTACAGTTGTCAGACACATTTCCTAGCATGGAAATCTTGACTTATGCATCTCAGAGGGAACAATGAAGTGTCACTGATGTCTTTTCCATTTCTTCTTTCTCCTGGTTCATCACAATTCCTGGATCTGGTGCCACTTGGCAGAATGGAGGTAAGAATGACTTTCTTTGGCTTTGTGGAGGCTCTTTCTGGACTGGGGAGAAGAAGAATGATGAACCAAGGGGGTTTAGTTAATTTGGCTTAAATAAAGGAGTAGAGTTTCTGCATGCCAACTGTGTAGATGAGGTTCACCCAAACGGATCATTGAGCTCTTTTACAGAGGCATAATCGGAGCCTAAGACTGGGTAGATAACAATGGTTTTTAGTCAAGACAGCAGTAAGGGTGTTTGAAATATGGTAGTAAGGAGAATATTCTGAAGGAAATTCTATTCAGTTACAGATCTAGAGTTTCCCTTGACCTTATAAATTTTCACAGCAAATATTAACTGCAAGTTCAACTCCTGCCTGTCCACGGTTAATAAATGTAATTTGGTTTGGTGCTTACCAGATTAGGGCAAGAGAAGGTTATATTTGTTCCAAGCAGAATTATGGATGCATAAAGCCTCTTACATGTGATGACATATGAACTTCTACTTAGTAATTTTTGCAGGACTGAACAATTTAGCTGGCTTTTTCTCTTTAGAATCCTTCTGTGTTTCTACCCACTGCACTGGCTGATCAGTCTGGAAGGAAAATGAGAATGTTAGCCTGGGAGATGGGCTGGTAGTTTCTGGCCATTATAGCAGGGCCCAGGAAAGTCTGAGCAAATGGCTTTACACTCTGCTGACACAGACTCCCTGCAAAGGCTATTGCCTCCATCACAGGAGTTTGCAAGATAGATTCAGGATGTTTGTAAGTGATTAAGTGACCACTCAATGATGACGGCAGATCTAAGCCTTACATGCAGGAATGACAGGCATGGGGACACAGACCAAGCTCTCAGCCCATCTGTCCCATAGGTGTTCTTAACATTTGCTGCATGACATTCTGTTTCTGTGACAAGCCGTTGTGAGAAATGTGTTGCTACTTCTCCGTTGCAGCTTGGTCTCTATCTCCTTGCATATTTTAGAAAAGCAAGAAAAATTAAGAGCACTGTTAGCTCTTCTCAGTCCGCATCTGCAGCCCCTTGAAGCCAGCAGAACAGTTGTCCCATGCACACCTCTCCTTGCTTTTCTCCTGGGGCACAGGAAAGATACAACTTTCAGATTAAGCACAATGGGCATCATCAGGAAAATGTAAATAACATGACCCCTGACATGCCAAGAACAGTTCCATCGGGGTGCTGGGATCAGTGCATTGCTTTGGGGAAACCTGCTGTGTGCAGGGGAGATGTCATGGGCTGTGAGACTAGTACAGCATGCTGATGGTCCCCTGTGTCACATGAAGGTGTGGCTATGGAGCCTGGGATGATGCAGCGTCAGAGCATCACTGCCATTTTGGTAAACCTCGAGGGATTGGTGCCTTCCTGTATTTTCTATCCAATGTGAAACAGAAAAAGAAAATAAAGAAAATTCACATGGAGACCAAAACAGAGCAGCTCAAACAGGGCCAGGGAGTGTCATCTGCAGAGAACATCATCTGAAGAACAGAAATGTGAGCATCCTGTGTAATCCCTTGTCCATGTACGTCCAGATTTCTGAAGAAAAAACAGCAAGAAACCCCAGAATTAACAATGGGTGATTATTTGGACAGGGAAAAGAAATAATAGGCAAAGATACAAATAGCTCTGTTGACTGCTCCAAATGGTTGGCATGTTGTGAATTGAACTCTCTGACCCCAGTTACACTGACCGAATGAGCACTGAGGACAGCTGCACACAGCTCTCCTCCCTGCCCTGGTTTCACCGTCCCCCACACACAGGGAGTCTGTTTTCCCAGCTTTGCCTCCCATACCAAGGACACTGCATCCCACAGGCTGCCTAAGCAGAGGGCACCTCCTCACCCTCAGACCTTGCTGCTGTTGGGTGACCGTGGGAGTTACTGGAAGCATGTGCCTTGCCCTTACCCTGCTGCTGCCTTTTGATGGCCGTGGGGAAGAAGGGAGAAGGGGGCGGGGGGAGAGATCTCCTTCTAGATGCAAATAACATAGGAAAGGTAAATAAATGGCCCTCAAAGAAGATGACCCTACTGCGATTTTTATTGCTCCTGCATAGCTCTGTCTCCATGCCATGGGGCAAGACTTTGCAAAATGGGAGATGTGGTGAAGATGCACCTTGCAGAGAAACACCAGGAAGGAAAACAGAGACCTGTGCCTTACTTGTCTCTGAGACACCCCAGCCAAAGGCGTGGAAGAGGGGCAGGGTCAGGAATGGTGCAGGAGCTGAGGAAGGGCAGGCAGGAGGCTGGCCTTGTGAAAAATTCCCTGGTACATGATGAGTTGAACTTACCTGGCTCCTCCTCATCAAGTCTATCTTAAATTAAACTCTAACTCTCGTTAACTGAAAAGTCCTGAGTAATCACAGGACTGCAACAAGTCAAGACAGCTGATCCCTACTGCAGGGAAGCAGGGAAGTAAAATATTTTCCCATTAGAAGCTAGGGACAGGGTGAGGGGCCATGCTAGGTCATGGTTCTGTGTGATCTATCAGTCTTTAGTCCACTTGTAATGTTAACAACACTTGGTCAGAGCCTCATCCCTGGAGCTCACTTGGGCTGGCACCAGAGTACCTTGCAGAAGTGTCATTCTTGGATTATATTAGCTAGTTTTAGTGGTTATAAACATCTGGCATCTCCTCTGCCCTCTGTTAGCCTCACACTTGCCACTTTATTCAGAAACAGAGCCATTGTGCTCATGCAGCTGTTTAGATCTGTGAGCTTACTGTGTGTGTGCTCTTGTCCTCGACAGCAAGTTGTACAAGGGTGACACAGGCTACTGCAGCACATACAGAGGTGAGGTGTGTAGTGCTATCTTGGCGAAGAATGCTCTTGTTTTCTTCAACTCCTCGTATGCTGATCCAGAGGAGACCCAAGAGCTGCTTGTGCACACTGCCTGGACTGAACTGAAAATGGTGAGTTCATTCTGCCAACCGGCTGCTGAGTCTCTGCTGTGTAACTACATCTTCCAGGAGTGCAATCCCTCGGGAGCTGGGCCAGCTCCAAAACCAGTGTGCAGGTAAATGAAGAAAAACATGCTCATATTTCACTTTCATTTCATGGGGATGTGTATGCAGCAGGGGAGTGGTGAGGGACTGCCTAGGCTTGCAGTAGCAAGTGAAGCTGAGTGAAGCTGGGCCCTCTAGGTTTGCACAGGTTTTCCCTTTGCTCTCTCCTCTGTACACACAGACTGATTCAGCTCTCACTCCAGACACCTTACATCAGGGGTTTGGAGGACAGGGCTGAAAAGAAGTATACATTTGAACTACATAAGTAGTTTCAATAATTAACATATTGTTATCTGTTAAGTCTTGCTAGGCCAGTATGTGTATTTTTTATTACTATAAAGAGTAATTGCTTCTTTGGAATTTTGACTAAATGCGGCTCCAGAAGATGCAACAAATCTGGCCTAGAAAATAGGCCAATCATTTAGCACTTCTTGCTATGACAAAAATGCGACAAAAATGATGAGACCAGAGACATTGCCTGTGTAATTGTACCCGATACACTGAAACTCCAGTGTGGTTATTGTATCTTTCTATATACAGAGAAATTGGGCTGACAGGAGTCTGAGGAGTCCAAAGCATCTCTTATTATAGCTAATCTACTGTTGACAGGTATTTGTAAACACATCCCAGTGACAGACGCTTCTCTCTCCCTATGCAACCTCCTGAGCAGTCCTTCCCTCGTTGTTCCTTATCCTCCCACCGTGGTCATGGAGGCGAGTTTCTTTCTTTCCTGTTTGCAGTGAAATTTTACATCTTTCCCAGATTCTCTGACTAGACTAAAAGAGGTTTTTCCAAGCTCTGCACATAGCTTTTGCTCTTCTGCCCAGTCCAGGTTTTGTTACTTTTAACTATAATGGAATTATGATTACTTGGTGTGCTTTGCAGAGGACAACCTCCCCCACACGCATATCAGGGTGAAGCTTTCTTTTTCCTGATACATTCAGCCCCTAAAAAACTAGTCATTACCCGTTTCACATTTTGGCAGCTGACACCTGTGTCTAAAGTACACTGCTTTGTTCTTGTCTTCCTTGAAACACATTTTAAAATACTATTCATATCTGCATTTATTGGAGGAGTAGCCACAACTCTAGTGTCTCAAATAAAATCTTTTCTACAAACATGGCAAGCACACTGCTTGCTGGACTTGGGCCAGATGTCTAATGGTAATAATTTCTTCAGTTATGTAGGGCTTTTTAAAGACAATTAGCAGCATGTTGTTTTTGTAATCGAAACCTTTTTTGTTGCTCCTCCTTTAATATCTCTAAAACAAAGGCACAGAGGAAAATATCAGTGTGAATATTGACCATATATTTAGTTTTCTATTTGGTACCTGTGAGCCTGGTATTCTACCATTGACACAGGGGTGGAATATATCCTGCAAAAAAAGACTGTGCAATATCCAGAGATAATCATGCAGCCAAGTACTACAATTTGCTTTTTGCTGGCAATCTCCTCCCTGCCACCTCAATATTCTGCTCTTTGTCATTGTGCCCTTAAACACATGATCTCACTGCCTTTTTTCAAGATCTGTGACAGTACTTATATCTCAGCAACACATGCACAGCACATTAGTCAGCTAAGGGTTTTGCACATTGCTCTGCAAGGTATTTCAGTTATATACTGGCCTTGCTTCATTTACCCCTGCTCATGAGTGGCCCTGCAGGACCAGAACTCAGAGTGATTTGACTGAAGACCTGTACTTCTGGGGTACTTCTAAAGTCGGAATTATATAAACCAATATAAATATGCACTTGATCTTGATGCACCTGAGCTAACAGTTACAACATTTGCAAATATGTCTAAATGTTAATTGGCTTGCCTGGAACCATTTTTCGAACCCCTGAGTCAATGTTGATTTTTATTAATTATTCCTCCCTTCTTTACCCTCAGCCCCCCTTATCCCCCCCATCTGAATTTTAATGCAGCTTTCTTTATAAGAAAATTCTGGAGTAGCATCCTTCCCAATTCCTCAGAGAACATCAGCTGGACAGCAGTTCTTCCAGAGCCTTTTGATAACTCAGACATCTAATATATCCTTCTTAATGGCTGAGAGAGGTCTGGGGGCTCTTGAACACATCTCACATGGTCTTGGGTACTTTCCAACTCTCTTAACTACTTTTTACTGACAACTTTATAGCTTTCTGCAGAAGCTGGCTGGACTACACAAGTTTTCAGCTGAAATACTTCATGAGTAAGAATTTAACTCTCTCAGATGTGGGAGAGTTCTTCCAGTTTTTGAGGGACATACTGCCCTCCATGTATGTCCACATATTTTTATCTTATTATTTATTTTCGGCGCCAATCTTTCTCTTTCCATGTTGCTTTTTAATATTTATTTGGTTTGGAAGCTAGCCAGCAGGAATAACAAGTGACAGGCTGAGTAAAGGTTTTGTAAAAGTAATCAGGGGGTAAAACAAAATTAAATGAAACAGAAGAAAATACGGGAAGAAAACATGGGAAGGAAACATAGGAAAAGTTCACTTAATGTAAATTTAGATGCAAATTGATTAAAATGAGATTTCTCAAGGGAAAGTGATATCTTGTCTCATAATTCTTGATTACATCTGCCTCTTGTTGCTGGCTGCTATTGCAATAGCAGAAGTATCCCCAGTTTCTGTTTCAATCACTGCTGATAGGAAGTGATCAGGCTGTAGGGAACAGTCTTGTGCTGGGGAAAGTCTCTGTTTGGCTCTGTGTGTCCCCACCTCCTCAGACATAGCCTCTTGTGGTCCCTAGAAACACTACTAGCACACTTGCTGTCTTCTGCCATTACTGTCCTTTGTCCATCTGTCATTTATATGACATAACATTTCTAATAATAACCCGAAGTAATCTTTGCATATGACCTCAGCAAGCTCTCCCCGCTCAGCATCAGGTGCTACAACAAGGCTGTGAAGCCAGCTAGAGGTGACTGACCAGCCCTCCCTCTGCCTGCTTTGCCATTCTTCCAGGGTGCAGATAACATTTCTTTAACCCTGGAGCAGACGGCATTGAAGAACAATGATCTTTTGCATTTCGTCATTGAACACCGAATAAAGGGCTTATTTAAGGATGCTCAGGATCCAGGAAAGAACAGAGCTAATTCAATCCAGATCTCCCAAGCCACTGCTTCAAATGCAAATTTTTCTCATTTCTCTATCTAAGTATTTCTTTACTTCACAAGGTCATTCCTGTTCCACATGTTGTTTAATGTAAAAAAGATAAATTTGCCATCTGGCTGCATTCTGGCTTCCTTGGAAAGGAGGGAGGAATAAACCAGGACTGGCTAAAATCGAGCACAGAGTAGCTGTGCATTGATAACTTCTGTGTGCTGGATTGAAGGGCATCCATTACTGTTGCAGAAGAGCTGTTGCTCTGGTAGAATTCCCAATGACTTCTATCCTTCAGGTTCTTTAGAGGGTTTGCAGTGTTGTTAGCCATTGCTGAAACTCATGATCATCTGCTCTTGCCAAAACTGTTGTATAATTAAAGAGATTGCATCAACCCATCAGGTGGTGAATTTGGCTAAATCCTTCACCACAGCCCCCAGAATTACCTTTCTCTTTCTGCATTATTGTGTTGTGGCTGGAAAAGTTGTGGAGCTTAGATGTGCAAAAGAAATCTTTGCACATGACCTCAAAGCTGATTTTGCAACCCAGGCTCTCAAAAATGACTTCATAAATAAGCAAATCACTGATAAATTGACCAATACAACAAATCCACAAACTCCCCAGTATGCTGTGTTTTCTTTTTTTTTCTTTTAATCTTTTTTTTCTAGTGCAGCTATTTCTGCCTTGCCCTTCTTCACAACTATTTCTCATATAAGGCCCATCCAAACATCCAAAGCACTTCTTGTCAGTGAATGTTTCACATTGTTATGGAGTTAATATATTAGGTGGGAGACAGGTCAGTTTTTACCAGGCAACCTAAAGCTTTTACTGCAGGTATCTACAGAGAAAAAAATGGACTTATAGTTGCCTGTAGAGACAATAAAAAAATTCTATTTTTTTATTCAGTGAGATTAAAAGTATATGAAAATGTTTAATATAAGAAGGTTAAAAATTGAAGCTCACATCTTGCTTTTAGTAAATGACACTCCAATGTACAATTTATAGAAACCAAGTGAGATTTTTAGAATATACCAAAAAATTCTAACTCTAGAAATGAGAGGGAGACTATTTACAAGACATGTACTGACAGGACAAGGGGGAATGTCTTCAAACTGAAAGAGAATAGGTTTAGATTAGACATTAGTAAGAAATCCTTGGCTGTGAGGGTGGTGGGACACTGGCACAGGTTGCACATAGAAGCCGTGGATGCCCCATCTCTGGAAGTGTCCAAGGCCAAGTTGGATGGGACTTTGAACAACCTGGTCCAGGGGAAGATGCCCCTGTTCATGGTAGGGAGTTGGAACTAGATGATCTTTGACATCTCTTCCAACACAAACCATTCTATGATTTTATGATGTTCATTAGTAGAAGATGTCAAAAAATCTGTAGAATGAACTCCTCATAGCTTGGTGTGTGTTGTGTTTTGAGCATAACCCTGCTTCAATAAAAATGTAGGTTTGTATGTTTCTTAAAGGAAGCTGTTGTATTTCATACACTTTCCTTCACTGTTTATAAGTCAGACAGACTGGCTTTAAAGAAGTGTCACCCCATTAATGGATTTCTGTCAGCTGCATAACCCCTGCACATCACTGCTAAGTGCAGCCATTTTTTTCAAGCCATTGACAGCTGTATTTCACTGTTTTTTGCAAAACAATGTAGAGAGAATTGCCTTGCTGTAAAGGATCTCTACTGCTTTAAGGAATGGCTCTCAATGGAGGAGAACTCTCAGAAGGGGATTTACAAGCCAGGACTGATGCTGCTCACTCTTCCTGAATGCAACAGGTTGCCCAGCCTTCACCAGAATCCCAGCTCCTGCACCCGTATCCCTTTCTTTGGTAAGGTGACACATGCTGCTGATTGTCCAGACAGCTGTGTTCTTGGTAAGGGAGGGGGGAAAGGTACAATCCATAATTTACAGCTAAAGTAAAAGCTGATGGCGGGTACTATCCTGTCAGCACCTGTGCATGGAATTGTGACAGCTGCTTTGGCTGTTTGCCTCTCTTGCAACTGGGGTGTGGAATAAAACCCTCAAGTAAATAAAGCCTGGATATTTATTGAGAAGATCATAACAATCTCAAAAAAATAGTCTTAATGACAGCAAAATTGCCACTCGGGTGCATTTGCAAAAGAAACAAGCTGTTTAAGCACGGCTAGAGAGGGAACTTTTTCATATAATGTGAGTCTAAGTGAGCATCCAGTGATATTACATCCTGGACAATCCCCCCTTACATCTTGTCTTGTCTTTTTGCAGATTTTAAGAAGGAGAACATAACCAGTAAGTAGAATGCTTCAGACTATATTTTTAGAGATGGACATGATATTCTTCATGGAAGCTGCCATTTGCACAGTGTATTTGAGTTTTCTGCTGGTCCTGGCTGGCTGAATTTATTACTGGGGAATGTCTGGGTTTCCATGTCCAAGGCATGGGGATAAACATTTTCAGCTCTTTGGAGGTTGGGGAGACCATGGGCTGGTAACTTTTTATGAAAGAGGCGTGGTGGTTTTAGATGGTACCCTTCCCTCCATCTGTTTCCTTTTCTTTCTACCTATTGCTTCTTGCTCCCCACTACCCATATTTGTATTTCTGATTCTGAGGTCATCTCAGCCTTATATGTTAACAACATGGTTACCTATGTCAGGTAGGCCTTGCAAGACCTTAAGCTCCCAGCACTTTCCTCAAAGCACCTCTGAAGTTTGTCTGTTTCTTGTATGAGCCTCCCATGGCCAGTGGTGAGATCCAGGCATCCCCTGGAGTGCTGCTTTGACTTCTGTCAGGCTCCCACCCTGCTGCTGGTTGTGGCTGAAACATGCACACCCAACTCTTCCACTCATGTGCAATTGCAGTTTCAAGCTCAGCCACTGAGCTTGCCTCTTTGGAAAAAGGAGGAATCTCTCTCTGCCATGCTTCTGTGGAGACAAGGGCTTCAGCACCTTCTGGCCAGGGCTTGCAGCCTGCAGGCGCAGCTGTTGCTGCCCTGGTGAAGGGACCACAAGAGAGGGGTGTCAGCATATGAGCATTTATGGGATGGCTTCAGTCTCCCCACAGATATTTCAGAACATATCTTCTGTCTCTTGTGTATGCATGACCTTTTTTGTTCAGCTTCCACAGCATTTTCACAGAGTGGCATTGCACAGATGTGCAGTATTAAGGTCATGAACTGGGAAGATATAACAGTAACATTTTAGTAATATTGCCTCCTCTTTTTTATTTTACATCCCCTGTTATGTGCACAAGGGTTTGTTGAACTGTTTTCTAGCTTGCTATCATATTATTCATTAGTGCCCAGATGGACCAGTTATATTATTGCCTCTGTCCTCATTATAGCAAGACAGTCTATGAAAGCATCTACATTCCCAGAGTATGAAGGATTCAGAGGTTCTTTCTTAGTGTTGCTCTTGCCCCTAAAGCTCTCCACATTCATTTTTTAAGGTGTTCCACTGACATTTATTTCAGATCTGTGCAGAAATAATTTTTATGTTTATTACTAGCTGTGTCATGTTTCAGGCACTGCTTTCCTTGCCTTTGAATGTGAAACAAGTAATATTCTGGGCTCAGGTACACAAGTATGTTCCAGGACAGCTTAACAAGTTTTTTTCGCCTCTTCAGAGCAACAAGTGCTGGTCATTTTCGGCCTGCTATCTTATTGCAGATGTGAGTCATAAATGATATCTATGTATCAGTCAAAGAAATCCACATTTCATTTGTGATGGGTTTAAATGTTCCCATAAAGTCCACAATCATTCATCTACTGAAGAGTTTGGATGCCCCAGGGCTATAGGAACTAGATCCTTTGTTTAAGCTCACTCTCCTGGAGTTAACACTTTAGAGGCAGTGTGTCTACCTACGTGTGTATAGTGTCTGCTACCTCGTGAAACTTCAGAGAGCTGAGAGTTTATCACAATATATAACTGCAATCCTGAGTGCAGTGTATGATGCATGAGGAAAACACTGGATAGTCATGATGGTATGTTGACTATGGTCCTTGTAGTTGAGAAAGAGTACAATCCACAAGGACGCATAGCCTTGTGCTAAATCTGGTTCAGCCCCTTATGCTTTCAGGAAGATGAAAAATATTTGCTTAAAAAAGTCATTATTTTAGAACACATTAGATTTCTTCTTGTTTTTCTTTGTTCCTGAACTCAAGATTATGAACATAATAGAAAACAAAATTATGACAAGAGAATTTGCTGGTTTGTAAATTTTTCTACCAAGGCTAACAATGCAGCAGACCCTTATATATGCCATCTATCATAATGTTAGCCTTGGCTCAGCTGAGTTTAGAGATTAGCTTTTATGTACAGAAATGTGTAAAGCTGCATCTCCTCTGCTGTCTTTCTCCTTCCTAGATTATGCCAGCATGCATTAACCTCTCCTATTAGGACAGGTGTATGTGAGGACATATAGCCTATAAGGACATTAATGCATATTCCTGCAGTAAAATCTCAAGATTTTCTGCCTATTTTTTCTGCAGCTGGAACAAGCCCTGTGTATGCTAGTGACTACACTAACTTCATTGTAAAGAACATTGTTTTATACTGATACCATTCCTTAGATTGTAGTTCAGATCATACTTCAGGGGGTATGATTTCCATGCATGCTGAAAACTATAGGCTGTTTCCAAATAATCTGTGGGGATTAAGACTGTACAGAAGCAGGAGGAGGACAACTTTATGAATCCGAGCTCTCTGCTACCAACCTGAGGAACATGAGTGTCTTCCTATTAGTGCCCCAGTAAGAATGTAGGCTGTGAATCATGGAACCAGTGCTGTGATTTGTTTTCTGCCTTGGTTTGGCTTGGGTGGCTACAGCATGGTACAGCATGGTTCTGTCCTGTACTTTCTGCATGATGTACTATGAACTAGGTAGTTGCAGCTCTACCATGACAGGCACATGGCCTGTTTTCTCAGTCTGAGAGGGCTGCAGTACCCTCTTTGAAGTTTCATCAGATTTCCTTCTATTGAGTGCAAAATCCATTAACATGTAAACAGGAGCCTAAGCAGTACCCTTCCCGTGTTGTCTAGCCCTTCTGTGTGCTTCAGATCTGATGCTGTCAGATGGTGTCATGTAACGACATGAACTTTATTCTTGTGAGTCTCTGCTCAGGACATGGTCTGACATGCCTTGACCCCATGTTCTTTTTCCTCTTGCAGGGACTTGCTACAGTGGCAATGGCCAGTTTTACCAGGGCACTGCCAATGTCACAGCATCTGGCATTCCCTGCCAGAAGTGGAGTGATCAGGTGAGTGTCAGTGTGAGATCCACCAAATGCAGAGCCGTGTTTGAGGTTTGCTCTTCCAAGGAGTTTCTCAGAGTTAGGCAGACCAATCTTGGTGAAAGGGAAGAACAAGGAACAAGTTGCCTTCATTCTTGAGCTCACAGGTGTTTTACAATCTCATCATACTTCAATCTGCAAGTTCCCTTACTGTGTCAAGATGCATTCTCTGTCATTTCAGATGACTGAAAGGCTATTTCAAGGAAGGTTCTGTCTTGCTTCACTTCTTCGGGTTTTTAAAGAAATTTATTTTAACAATAATATCAGGGAAAATTATGCTGAAACACTAATAGAATTTGCTTCCTCCCCCAAGGCTCCTCATTTGCACAGGAGAACTCCTCAGGTTTTCCCTGAGCTGTTTGATGCTGAGAATTACTGCCGCAATCCAGGTGGTGAGAACGAGCGTCCCTGGTGCTACACAACGGATCCAGCTGTGACCTGGGAATACTGCAGCGTGTCTCCCTGTGGAGATGGTAGGCAACTGCACTTAACAATTTCTGCCACTGTGGCCGTTTTGTGGCCTTGAAAGGTGTGTGCATCTTGAGCACACCAATCTGTTCTGCCTTCTGGATTCAGCTAGCTCTGGGTCTTCTCATAGATTCACTCAGCATCTTTAACCAGAAGGTTTAATGTGCCCCATGAAGAGGGGAAAAATGAAGATAAGCACCTTGCCCTGGGTTATATAAATGCCAAAGATGAAGAGAAATGTCCTGTGGCATTCTGAAAAATTGATTTTTCACACTATTTAGAAGGTAGGGTTGTTTTACAAAGTTGTTTAATTTAGGGTGATTTTTTTTTTCAGTAATGAACCCCCCCAATTTTAACCAAAAAAACCCCCTAAAAAACATAGAAGCATCTTCATTCTTTGATGTTGAAACTCTGTCTTCCTTAGCTATTCTTGCTCCTCTTTCTTCCCTATCTCTTGTCCAAGGAACAGACCAATTTCTGAAAAAAATTTCATCCAAGATTCCCAGTTTCTGGATTTCAGTGCTGGGAAATAAGACTGCATTTGGAAACTTCCTGCATGGGGAACATGGATTCAAGAGAGCACAAGTAATTTTCACTTTAGCTGGCAATTAAGAAGAAGAGTTTAAATTCTTTCTGTTCTCAATCATTGCATGCAGAGAGTAGCATTTTCTAGAATGTCTCAGAAACTACTCCACAGGTGTGTTTTTCCCCCTAATAATACAGGCAAGTGGTCTTTAAATTAGTTTTTCATATTTGCCCCATAAAGACACTGAGATGCAAATTTCTGGGGGCAAGAGGATATTTTGGGAAAGTATCACTCTGTACTTACTTGGTCTTACACTCCTCTCTGCAGATTCCTTTTAGGACACATGATACATTGTGGTTTACACTGTGCACCATTGATCTTTCCCACTGCAGACATTACTATATTTGAATACTATTGAGACTATCAGATGTGACCTCTCATTTGTAACTCTTGCAAATATTCTATGACAAAACTGTGTTCCCAGATTAATGGGAACTATATATTGGTCTAACTAGATCTTGGATTTTCACATGTGGTAAGCACAAATGGGTTTTGCTTCCCTAGTATGGTCCTCTCATGTGGTCATATGGTAATATCTGTAATGTCAGTAATTCCCAGGATGACAGTCTAGCTCTGTAAATTCTTCTTAAGAGACAGCACTATAAACTAGCAGAGGCATAACCTTCTGATTTTATTTGCATTACAGCATTGTTACCACTGGGAACAAGAAAACCAAACGGACAGACTCTAAATCTTCCCCCTCCTCCTCCATTTTCCCCTACGTACTCCATGACCGTTATCATCTCAATCATCTCCAGCTTTGCTCTGATCGTGATCTTTGGCATTATCACCCTGGTTTGCTGCCGTCGTCGAAAACAGTGGAAAAACAAAAAAAGGTAAAGCTTGGAACTTAATTTAGTGCAAGAACTGCTGCTTTGAAAAAAGGGCTTTCTTTCTTCTGGGAGCAAGGTCCTGTGAATGCCTGGTAGAGGACAGCAGCCCTCCCTTTGCCTGTGGCAGCCCAGTGCAAGCTCTGTTGAACTCCTGTGCCAGAGCAGAAGGTGGCACGGTGACTAGGGACATGGCATGACATTTTTCTGCAAGGCTTCCTCAGTAGCTCTTCCCAATAACCCTGCTGCACCTTCCTTTTCCACTCCAAAAGAAATAAGCTTTGGAGGAGCTGTAGCTAGTTTTCTCCTGGTTGAGGGACACACTGACCAAAAATCTCTCCATTGTTTCAGAGAGTCAGAGACACCAACTCTCACCACTCTGCCCTCCGAACTGCTCCTGGACCGGCTGCACCCCAACCCAATGTACCAGCGCATGCCTCTTCTCCTCAATCCAAAATTACTAAGCCTGGAGTATCCCAGGAACAATATTGAATATGTGAGAGATATTGGGGAGGGAGCATTTGGGAGAGTCTTCCAGGCCAGGTAAGCACCCTCTTTGTGAGTCTTCTTTATTTGAAGATACTTGTGAAAAGTTGGCACTGGAAATCATCCATCCATCCATCCATCCATCCATCCATCCATCCATCCATCCATCCATCCATCCATCCACTCAAATGCATGTGTACCAAACGGTACAGAACACTCAGGTTTGAATAACTGTTTTTGTTTTCCGCTGCTATCTGCCAATATTTGTTAAACTTTTGCCACAAATTACTCTTTTCTACACTCTAGTAGCTGTAATACCTTCCTCACACACTAAAGTCTGATATAAAAATTCAGCTAAATTTTGCCAAGAGTACTGCCTGTGACGTGACCTATAATGAAGTTCTTGCGTTTCCCAGTATTTATGAATTGTCAGTGTGTGGTGACCTCCATTTTAACACCAATACTGATCTGTGAAATTACCACAGAAGTCACTGTGTCATGCTATAGTTCAGTCCCAACCGAATTTCAGTTTGATCCAGTGGCAAAACCAAACCAAAATCCCCTAAAAACCCTCCCCACATAGGCCAGTGTGGGGTTGGGTGGAGGTGGATGGTTGTGTGTCTGGTGGTGTCTCAGCCTTAATGGGAAATGCACATCCAAGATTTGTAGATACTCGTGGGTGAAAGGAACAGCAAAAGTCAGAGTATCTGCAAAAGTGTACAAATTTTTATTAGTAAATTACACACCAGCTGTGGAAATAGCTATTTTATAGTCCCTGACATCCTATATAAGCACAGGCCATGGGTTTTGAATAAAGGTAGTGTGGAAAGGAAGAGAGACAGAAAGATGGATTAAAGGTGAAAGGAGAGAAAGAAAGGAAGAAAGGAAAAAAAAAAAGAGATCAGTGGTCCTGGCTCCACCATCAATTCAGCTGACAGAAAGTTTAGGGTCCTGGGGCACATGTGTGCCCAGGCTTTGTAGGGTATCTTTTTCATGGTAAAATTTCTGTGCCCTGGAGCTAACTTTCTTACTTGCTATACAAGTGAGTTATCATGGGCTGCCCCTTCTCCCAGATCTTTCTGGAGATGGTTTGGGGGCTTTGGGGGTCTTGGGTGCTCTTGATCCTCCCTTGCAGTGCATTCCCACCTATTTCTCAGCCTCATTCCTGCACCTCTGATGTACGGTGTTGCGCTTATCTCCAGAAGACAGAACAAGGACACTTGTCTCAGAAAAATGTTGCCCTACCTCTCTATGGCCCCTTTCTCCAGCCATACAGTTCTTGGTTGGCTCCATGGCTATCTGGATATCAGTGTTTGAGTAACACACATAAATTTCCTTATCTCTAGACTTCTACAGTGTCCCCTTTAGTTAGTTTGTAATTTTTATTTTTGGAATTTGCAGCTGTTGTTACCTGTTTTAAACCTAAGATAGTAGACGACAGCCCAGGTCTGATAATCATGGGATGTTAGATTTTAAAAGGTGCACTTTAAAAAATGTGAAAAATCTTTAATTGACAACCCAAAAAATAAGGAGGATGGAAGGTGTCCAGCTTTTCTAGACACCAGAATCCATGATTTCTGCAAGACAATCTTTGGACAGTAGTAGTTTCCTTCTAAAGTCCCATCTCCAAATTCCTAGACGAAAATGTATAGGCTGCGTAGTTCTCTGATTAGTCAGGGCATTTATCTTTGTCCTTTGCCGTTAACAAGTATGGGGCACGGCTGATTTTATACCTGTATCTGGAGTAGTGTATGGTAACCTTGTAAAAAGCCAGGGAAGGATCAGAGTCCCACCATGGGCCAAGATCTGCTTGTTGAAATGCTTCTGTTGCCAAAGCAAAGGATTATCCTTGCACAAAGCAGTCATAATGTAGGTATTTGTAGTGTTTATAGTTAAGCTGTTGATGTACCTGATAGAAAATGAATTCTATACAGGTTAAATGTGTTACAGCTGGAAAACACTTTCAATAGCTGTGATGGATTTTTTTTCCTAATGAAGAGATAAATTATTTCTAATGGAAGAAAAGCAGGTACACTTTTCTTTATTACAGAAAAAACTAAAAATAACAAAATTCAAAGGGCATGCAGTGGGATCATCACAGATGCTTAGCCCATGACAAATTGTTAGCCTGGATGGCCAAATGCATCTGAGCTTGAAACAAGACCAAAGCTATAGAAACTGCACAACAGCTGTGCTTGGGGCACTGCACACCAGGGGCGCAGGGCAGCTCTTGTCCCAGGCTCAGCACAGTGCTTGAGGTGCCCTGAGGTGCATCACCTTCCTGCTCATGCTGCAGGAGTCTTCACCTGCGTGTGAGCAGGGCAGGCATTCTTCTTGCCAAGTGCTGCTTTGGCCCTGCTCTGGAAGTTTAATACAATTTGAGTGCTGCACAGACCTTTCTGAGCTCAAAATGACTTTCACAGGTATCAAGCAAGACTTAAGGGGCATTCAAATGTCACTTAAAGTGCTAGTTAAGCAAGTGCCAAAGTGGTGTAAAGACCTCTTATGTGGATTTCATCCACTTCAGCACTGCAATTTCTTTTATTTAAGACTTTTTGTTATTGTCAGTGGAAACTGAGAGAAAAAGACACGGGACAAAAAAGAAAGCATCACCTCTTATCTAGCATTTGCAAAGTGAAGAGTACCACATCCTGAGATGCTTGATCTCTATGCCTCAAGGAAGAAACCACAGAAATGTTGCTTCTGAGGGACTTCATTTTTTTACCATCTCTATCAAAAGTGCCTTCAAGGCTTTATAACGCCTTATAATAAGCTATAGACGTTTCTGTGCACTGGTGGCAGATTAGTGCTGACTGCTGATCCACTAATACAAGCTGTGTGTCCATCCAAGTCACTGAAACTATCAAAACTCAAATTATTGCCTTCCCATCTCAGAAGGATAAAATGTACTTTCCTGCATGTGTTAAATGGACATCTTGAGCTAAGTTTAGAAATCCTCTTACTTCTCCTGCTCTCATGTTTCTCACTCTTCTGTAAACACAGCTCCACACTCAGTGCCAGCGATGCCTTTGCCAGTTGGCTGCTGCGAGTCCTGATTCAGTGTTTACTCTCTCCTGGGTCAAGCAACATGTTAGGACAGGAAGTGTCTAGCTATCATTTACTAGCTTCCCCTTAAAGGCTGCTGTCTTCACCAGGAACAGCTTCACACTTGGAAGGATAGGGAAGTAACCATGCTTAAAGCAAAATTCAGGACCTGGCTCAGACCTGTTCCGCCTGGGTCCTTGTGGCTGAATCTCCTCCTGGGAGACCGTGCTGGCCCCACAAGTCACCAGAGCACTGTGCAGTTCAGTACAGAGCAGCATGCAAGTTTTCTCCCAGAGATGGAGCTGTGTGGTCCAGGCTAAGCTTGAGGCTCCAGACTCCAGATTGCTTAAAAGCCTGGATGTGGAGTCTTTGCTAGTAGGCTGGTAGACCTACACCACAAACGCACAACTTGTTGTCCCTACTTAGGGACAGGGCTGTTCCTAAGGTCGGAGTTTCTTAATAGAATTCTCCTCATGTTCTCTCTGCTAAGGGTATTTCTTTGACCTGCTGTCTCATATATAGCTGAAAAACAGTGTGGGTGTTAATTAAAAAAACCCCCAACCTTCCCTTCCTCAAAAAGCGGCCCCTGCTGGTTCAGAGCAGTCTCCTGCTCACATATTAACTTAACCAAAGGACAGGATAAAGATAAGTTCCCACCAGACTCAGTAGACGTTAATTGCATTATTTAATGATCTAAGAGAAGCTACTCAACTGTTATGGTGAGCAAGATGGGGACAGGACACATTCTCAAATGCAGGTTCAGACTGCTCCTCATTTTTTTACATAAGTTCCCAGCCAGGTTTTTCTTTCCAAAGCAGTACCTAAGTCAGATATTCTCTAGATAAGCTCAGGGTGAAATTCCTAACAGCACTGCTGGTTAGTTCTTTGAACAGGCATGTACTTAAACTGATGCCTCTAGTGCACAAATCCATTGGTAGTGAAAAAGGCAAAGAACTGTTGCTGTCCACCCTGTGCACAAACAATGTAAATTTCTCCTTAGCTTTTGATTAATTGCAAGAGAGATTACCTAAGGTAATTTATTTTGATACTTTCCAGTTCTAGAAGAGAATTAACCTATTTTTTGAAAAACAGTCCCCTTTCTGGCCCTCCACCTGAATTCTCCAGGTTCAGAGGCAGAAGATTCCCATTGCTACCCAGCAGGTGTGCCCCTATCATTTGTACAAAGACTATCTTTAGGGCATGAAAGGGGTCAACTTTGACAGCTCTCTGCCAAGACTTCAGACAGTCTCTGCCTCTGTACTAGATCAGTGTGAGTTTTCCAGGTCTGCTAAGAGCTGTACTGAATCACCATGAGCTACCAAAGATGAAATTTCTGGCTTTTGCCTGAAGGCCAGTTAAAAGACTGTGTGTCTTAACTGCACTTGGTTACATATAGGTTAGTTTACATTTAAGGATTCTGTGAATTTGGGTGGTTGGGTGTACATCAGCCTGGGGTGAGTTTCTGTCTCCAAAGCAGGCAGGACTGAGCTCTGCCTACCCTGCTTTGGCACTGTGAGGTCTGCTACACAGGGATGAGTGATAATCTATGAGACTAGGCCTCCTATTTTTACTTTTAAATTCTCCATTACTTTGTTCAGGCTGCTGCTGCTGGCTCTAGTGCTGAGAATTGAGAGCAGGTGGTAGGTGCTCATACTCCTCCTCTCCTACTAGGCTGGAAACTGCTGCCAGCACAGGGGAAAAGAAGGAAGATATTGTGCTGCAATGGAGGCAGTAGCAGGCAAGTGTGGGGTCTGATCCTTTGCTCTGGCACGCCAGACCTCCTTGCCTGAGTGTTTCAGCCACCTGTGATTCCTTTCTTGATGGACACTCGGCCATCCAGTGACATTTGACATTTACAGCATCCAAGTGCAACTGTTGCAACTGCCATGTGTCTGAAGTAGAAGACAAGGAAGCTGGAAGTTTGCTTTGGAAATTGGAGTCTCCTCTAAGTGCTACTGAGCAATAAAATAACCTCGCATTTGAGCAATGGGATGGCAGTCAGGCTGGCATAGTGACATGGCACATAAATGGGCACCACCCTCCGTGGGCTCTGGCTGGCTACCTGTACGAAATGTGTTTTAGTCGCAAGGACCCTGGGAAGAATTCACCCAGGAAACAAAATGTATGTCTGAGTTTTGGTGCATGTTTGAAGAGTGGAAAGTTACTCTTCTCTGACAGCTACCCCTAAATCTTTGGCAAGCCCATCTAATTAAACTTGTTTAAGGACCTGTGGATAAGAAAACAAATTTGTTGCTCTAAGTCAGGATTCTGTTTCCTAAGGATTTGTGTCTATAAGCTTTAGCTGAAGATTTGCCAGTGTTAAAATGTGTGTATTAACACATTAACTTGTTCTTCAGACAAGGCACAGGTTTGCTTTGTCCCTTCTGTCCTGTCATGTGTTTCCACAAATCTTGTAGGAATATTAACTGTTTTCTAGACCTCAGCTACACCATATTAAATCCATCTGGAATCAGCTAATGGTTTTATAACTTGTTGAATTAAACTTGTTGAATTAAAAGTGCATACACGTGCCACACACAATTATACACAGAAAACAGTAACAAAAGGCCATTTTCCTTACAAAACCAAGGGAATACACTTACAGTAATTGTTGCTTTCACTCTAACAGTAGCCAGATATACCAAAGTCACCACTGTGCCAGGTATAGGAAAGGAGGCTCTTTCATCAGTTTCATAGAAAACAGGTTTAATTTTAACTCAGCCATTACACCCCAAAAGTGAATTGCTTGTACTGAAGAGTCCATTCTGTCCTCCATTAAGTTTATGATGTGATCTCCAGCCTAGGGAGAGGTTGTTTCTTACCAACCTGTTACTTATTTATGTCTTTACCAGACATAGTAATGAGTCTGTAAGCAGCAAGACCAGTGATCAAAAAAAAAAGCTATATTGAATTTAGTCTCGTCTGAACCAAATTAAACATCTCCGTAATATGCAATTCATATTGCAGTCCCAAGAGTCCCAAGAGATGAAACGGGACTTTTAGGTTCTATCTGCTCATTCTGGGGCCTTCTATTTTTTTTTTTGTCAGCCTCTCCTTTTGCACTAGAAACAGAACCTATATTTAGTATGCATGTATTCATCACTGATGGTTTCCTCTCTTCTCTCTCCTTGCAGGGCCCCAGGGCTGCTGCCATATGAACCTTTCACCATGGTAGCAGTGAAAATGCTGAAGGAGGAAGCATCTGCAGACATGCAGGCCGACTTTCAAAGGGAAGCAGCTCTCATGGCAGAGTTTGACAATCCGAATATCGTCAAGCTTTTAGGTATCTCAGTGAGGCATCCTGTTGCCTTAACAGGATGGTGCATCACATCAAAACCTCCCCATGCTGCATTAAGTATACTCTGGCCGTCTTGCTGCCTAGCTCTGCTTTCAGTCTAATAACATTGACACAGATGTCTTATAGGGAAGACGTGAACTTCCTGGAACTGTGATTTATTTTGTGGCTACTGAAAAGAAACAGTACAATTCTTATTGTTTTTATAGGTCTCGCTTACTATTGTGATAGCGTTTAAAAAACCAAAATCAAATGAACAAAAAAAGCCAGCCACCAAAAACGTCTCTTCCTTTCCTTCGATTCTTATCTGAAAGAACATCCTTCTTTGTTGGATTATTTTCAGAAAGTCTTGTCTCTGCAGCTTGGCTGTTAAGATATCTTCTGAGAAGAAAGCTGCTGACCAAAAATATTCCTTTAGAAAATTGTCATTTTTTTTTGTCAGAAGTAAATGCTGCTGGACATCTATATCTGGCAATCCTGCCCTAAGTTCTTGTATGCAGATCTGATTCTCATCAACAGGGGCATCTGAGATCTTAATTTATTTCAGTAGGAAGCTCCACAACATTTTGAAATGGATAAACTGCAGTTTTGGGAAAACTGGTTTGATGCAAGTACTTTGGCTACAGAAAAGAACAGCAGGAAATACACCCAGCTCAACTAAACTTTGTGCTTATTGTTAACACATTTTAGGCCAGAAAAAGGCAAAGGTACAGGCACAAACTAGTATCTCATCATGGGGATGTGTAGAAACAACCCCATTGTTGAAGACAGCTTAGATGATAAATCTCTCACATACACTTGTCATGCTTGTCAGATCCTGATGTCATCAGATTGGGAACAGCTATTTGTTTTTCCTCAAAGATTCATATATTAGGTCATCAACCAGAATTTCAGATTTCACAGTAAGTTGCATCGCCAATTGCTAAACGATGGCTCTAAGAAAGCAAAACACATACATTTTAAATGTCGGCCTTTGCTGGTTAGCAGCTTAATGATAGGAGCACAAATATTACTATATCACTGTATGATCTGTAAGACTTATGAAGGTGTGGTTAATGATGGCTCACCAATAAAGGTGATGAAGAGCCAAGCATGTACCCTTCAGTGGGACTGCATTCTGCATCTAACAGATATGGTAAATGTCTCCTTTCTGCTGTTTTTGATTTGTCTTTTTTTCATTTTTTAATATCTGTCATGCCAAAAGTAATTCCTCAACCAACATTTTTTGCATGAGTTGTTTAAAAAAAAAAAAAAATCCATAAGCGCGAGAGTCTCCTTGCAATTCAAGTGTTCCATTGAACATGCCTCTTGTAAATACTTTTCAAGTCTTCCTGCATATGTGTCACCCCTGCAATAATATTATTGTTATAATAACACAATAATCACAACAAATAAAATAATTTTAAATTACATGATCAGAACTTTAAAGATTGCTTCTTGAAACTCCTTGCAGTTGCACCTGAGAAGAGGCAATATTTTTGTTAATACCTACTTAAGCAGGATTGGGCTCTCAATTAAACAAAGCTCCAAAAGTCTGTGTTTTACCTGGGATGTCGAGAAAAACTGTGCATGCAGGCATGTGCATGACCTGTTAGCATCAGCCACAGAGCCCAGCATTAGATCCCTGATGAAGGAGCTTTAAAAGAGGCAGCATGCATGATGGATGCATACAAAGTGCATGGCATTTGCATGGTCACCTCTCTCTCTGCATTGCTGAAAGTCTCCCTTTTGCATAAGTGTTTTTGGACTTTTTTGGCCCTTGCACAGCAGAAGTGTCTCTGCTCCCCAAATGACCTGTGTGTCTGTGCTCCCCCAGGCGTGTGTGCAGTTGGGAAGCCGATGTGCCTGCTGTTCGAGTACATGGCCTATGGGGATCTGAACGAGTACCTGCGTGACCGCTCTCCCCGCAACCTCTGCAGCCTGGCTCAGGGCAGCCTGGACACGAGGCTTGGCCTCCCCAACCCCCTGGCGCTGTGCTGCACCAGCCAGCTCTGCATTGCCAAGCAGGTCGCTGCCGGCATGGCGTACCTCTCCGAGCGCAAGTTTGTCCACCGGGACTTGGCCACCAGGAACTGCCTGGTGGGGGAGAACATGGTGGTGAAAATTGCCGATTTTGGTCTCTCGAGGAACATGTATTCGGCTGACTATTACAAAGCAAATGAGAACGATGCCATCCCCATCCGCTGGATGCCCCCCGAGTCCATTTTCTACAACCGCTACACCACAGAGTCGGATGTGTGGGCCTACGGAGTGGTGCTGTGGGAGATCTTCTCCTATGGCATGCAGCCTTACTACGGGATGGCTCACGAGGAGGTCATCTACTACGTGAGGGATGGGAATGTCCTCTCCTGCCCAGACAACTGTCCCCTGGAGCTCTACAACCTGATGCGTCTCTGCTGGAGCAAGCTGCCTGCTGACCGGCCAGGCTTTGCCAGCATCCACCGCATCTTGGAGCGCATGTACGAGAGGGCCGTGGCCAACATGTCTGTCTGAAGGATGCCTTTCCTTCCTTGTCTCCTCTGTCCACCTATCCAGACTGACTTGGGTCAGTCTATGAGCTCCTGAGTGATGGTTACTTCACAAAATGTCCCACTCAGGGAGGAGAAACAGCTTGTTCCGATGCCAAGCAAGAAATACAGACTGTACCCCCTGATGCACCTTCTTGAGTGGGACTGTACCTCCCAAACAGCAGGGCTGACCTTTAGCCACCACGACTGGACTCCTCAGGTTGGTGAGAGTGCTGGTCGTGCTGACTCAGTGCTTTTATTTAGCATTTCCAGGAGCACAGAGTTGCCCAGGGAAGGCAAACCAGTGTTTCTTTCTAACCACTGTTTCTTCCCTTCCTAACAGACGTCACCATGCCCTTCTGCATTTACACTCTTGGCTTTTACCTCTTTTTCCCCCTTCTCTTATGTTTTCAAGTATTATTTAAAAAAAAAGATTGCAGAGGTCAATCTTCTTTTGGGGATACTCTTTATTATTTTATTTTTGCATACTGTTTACTATTTTGTTTTTGCATACTCAGTCCTTTTTGCAGAAAAAGGATGTTTCTGAAGCCATAGGCCACTTTTGTCTTCCTTTTATCTTCCATTCTCTCTCATTACAATAACACTGACAGAGTCAAAATAGGAGCCTGCTGGACCACTGGCAGCCACCTGCACCTTATGCTACAGAGACAGGCAAACTCCTGTGAAGCATGACACTTTCCATTTTCCAGTCTGGGAAATCCAGAGTCATATCTACTTGATGTTTGTTAAAATTCCACCTGAAAACTTTCCTTAAGCATTGCACCACATCTTTCCTGCCTTCCCCTGAAGCAACAAAGCCATTTGGTGCTACAGGAGAAATTAATCCCAAAGACCTGGTGCTGCACATTGTAGGCATCCAAGGTGTATTTATTTGCCGCTGTATGGTCCTCGCCATGCAGAAAGCAGGAAGAAATGCATCCTTTCTTTGCAGATATGTGGCAGATTGTATTAATTACTTCCTTTTCCTTTACAATCTTTGCCTCCTGTTTCTTGTTTTCCTTTCCTGACAGACTCTCCAAACTCCCACTACAGTATTTGCTGGCCACCTTTCCTTGTACTGCAGTTTAGAGACAGAGAATAAGAAAGGTGGATGTCTGCCACCAATGTCCTTCAGAGACAACCTGTCAGTTAAGAGAAGCTGGAGAAAGTTAAAAAGAGCCACAGTTACACATATCCCACACCCATCTCCAAACACCAAAAGTTTCTCTGCTAAAAGTTCTCCAAATTGTAATGGATATTTAAATGCAGAGAAAATTTTATTCCTCTGATGGCAGGTGTAACCTTTCAGCTCCTTGTGGAGTGATGAGCAGTTGTCCCAGAGCCTCATTGCTGATACAAAATGTAGCCTAAGGCAGAGATGTGCATTATGACTGAAGAGCAGGAGTGCAAGTGAATGACTGTTTAGTGTGACTTCTGTAACCAGGACACACTGCTTTAGCTTACCCAGAAAGCAGCAGCAGAGAGCAGCTATCTATGGTTTCTGAAATGTAAGCTTGAAAAGGTCTGTGAACCATTTTAAAGAGCAGACTAGAAAGATCATGCTTTCATCTGCTGCTCTCTTGTTTGTTTGGGTTTTTATTTTGTTGGTTTTGTCGGTTTTTTCATATAACCATAGTTTGTGGCCACAACAGCATTGTTTAATATTTTCAGGCCACTGGTGTCACTTTCACTTGGAGCAAAGAGCTTGCAATTACCAAAGGCAAGAAAAGAGGTTTGGACTGCAAAATGTTGAAGTGCTAAAATAGTAACTTCACAGTGAGCACAAAATGACCAGTACTGTCTTAACCATTTAGCAGTCCTACCATCATGCTGCTATGATACACCAGTTTACTGAGGTTTGGATGCTAAAGACATACACTCTTGAAAATCCCAAAGTCCTCAATTTCAATAAAAAATTATACTGGAGTTCTTTATATAGCTCCTGTCATTTATTTCTGACCACCTTGCAGTGCGCACTGTTAAATTTCTGTTGGGTTGTATCAGCTCCCTGTCTGTCTTCCCTGTTCTGAGGAGGCAGAAATGAGGAGGCAGGCCTGGAGGGATGATGGGTGATGCTGAGCTGAGCCCACATACACAGCCCAGGACTTGCATCATTTCTGTAAGGGAGGGTGCACATTCAAGATCCCTGCAGTGCTCAAGGCATCAGGTATTTTGTCACCCTCTTTAGAGGGCAGGGTCAGAAGTCATGTGGGTAGTGGTGTGGGTCCAGGTACCTAGACCCTCCCCTGAAGCTGGAATGATTCTTAATGCTAAGCAAAGGCACAGTAACAGGTGCAAAACCTACACCATGTGCTAAATGTAAACAAACACACCTATTTACAGTCTGGAGGACAGTCTGCCTTTTTGCCTTCTAGAATCCCAGTGCTGGCTTCAGTTGTTCATACTCCCATTCCCCCAGGAAAATGATTTTAAAACCATAATCACAGTTTTCCTCTTAGCTGCCTGTCATGTCACATGCTTGGAATTTTCACTCACTTTCTTTGTGAAAGAAGGACTCTCATAAACTTGGAAATGTAGCCCTTTTCATCTCATTTTCCTAGTCCAAATACTTCTCTCCGTGGCCCCATACTTAGGAAAACAATGGAAAATTTGGTCTTCCTTGTCCAGCATTCCAGCCTTTGCATTATAAGCCCGTACTGAAGTGTGAGGTAGTCAGTGTCTGCAGGTCGGGAGGGAAAAAGCTTCCTTTTCTGCAGGAGGAAAGAGATCATTTAAAGGTAGACTCAGAGAAGCTCTCAGCAACATGCTCTCCAGGGATGGTAATCCATCCTGCGTACCAATCCAGCAGGAGGGCTTAGCACCTAAACGGTGCTGTCCTTTGAGGATTAAATTGTAGCAGGACTTCTGCTGCCTTAGTGTGTAGCTGGATTTTACCGTTTCCTTCTGCTGTATGCTTTTCAGCTTGCTAGGAACCGAGGATTAACTGCTTTCATGACATGCTTTCTTTCACAAATCTTTTTCTCCTCCTTATGTTTAAGATTCTGCTGTTTTTATTCTGTGTTGTACAGTGTGCTATGCCAGATTCTTCTAAACTTTCTGTACAATTATCATGTAACACAAATTATTTTGAACAGGAATAAACAAAGGGATTAGGAGAGTGTAGAAGAGCAAGAAAACTTTGTTACTCAAAAAGTTGCTTAGAAGCAAAAATATTTTGCTTCTCTAGTTTGTACTTATAATTCATGTGGAGAGAGAAAAATTTAAAAATGAACATTTTCACATTCATTTTAGAATATTTGTGTGCTGCAAGGTAGAGCACTTTTCTACATTTAGTTCTGTCCATACTGGCCCCAAAAATATGGAATGCTTCATAAAATTTCATGTCACCCTGGTGCAGGGACCATACTAATACAAGAATTTAAAATGAACCTTTTTGGTGCTTCGGTTCTCATTCCCACTGATAGCAGAGGGAGCTAGCAACCTGGGGTACTGGATGAGAACCCCAAGAAGAAGATTTGCAGCACATTTGATGTACCCAATCCCTTTGCAAGTCTGCTGCCTTGAGCACTGGCAGCACGTATACATCTTTATCCTGGGTGACATACTGTGAAATCTGACCAACCAAACAGCACAGAAATCCTCTCGTGTTCCTGTGCCTTTATTTGACAGTTGCATTTAAAATGCATTTTTATAAGCATAAATTTCATAATTGATTGGACGCTGTTGGCAACATGATCAAATTTGGTTCAGAGGAACTTCCTCTCAAAAACTTTGTGGGCTAAACATAACTGTCTTGTCTCATTTACCCAGAGAATATACTAATTATTATTCTGTGATTGTTCGTTATACCTTCATGAATGATAGCTTTGAAAGACATCCTTAGCAGAGGCGTACATTTCTCATTATCTCAGCCTATGTAACTCATGTGTGCAATATTTTTTAAAATAAAGAGACATTGAAAAGAATCATACTAATTCTGTTCTCTCTGTTCTCTTCCTTCTCCAGCATGGTTTTGCCTTTGTTTGTTTGTTGTTTGTTTTTTGTCTTTGTTTTTTGTTTTGTTTTGGTTTGGTTTTGTTTTGTTTTCATTTTTGTCTTTGTGGGTTTTTTTCCTGAAAATGGATGTATTTAATTTTATTAAAACATCTTTATTACAGCTTTGATATCACAGTGCTTACACTGCAGGAAATTGCAGTAATAAGTCAACTTTTTATATGTGCTCAAAGGCATGTTGTTTTGGTGGGTTAAACTGGGGTGCTGTAGGACCACATTAAGAAACTTTACATTATGAGAACACATTAAGGGCTGGACAAGGGAAAGGAGAATATTTTTACAGCAATGTGGATTGGAGTTCCTTGACCACTATCCCAAGGTGTAAGATGCCTCACACAGATGGGAATGACACCAGTCCCCCTCCCAATATCTGCTGGTATTTGTGCCTGGATTCTGGTCTCACACCTAGATGTGTGAATTCAAGTGTGATATAAAATCAATAGGGAATTGAGTTTGCTGTCTGTAGAACACAGCTGAGCAAAGTTTCATGCTGATGGGTTTACCTAAAAGGCTGTAACTCCTTTTTTCTGCACATGATCCTTGAAAATGAGCTCACTCAGTAAGTCTATGGGAATTTTAACTATTTCAAAATTAATTGCAAATCTTTAACAATTAGAAATGGGGAATCAAACAAAACTCTCTGACTACAATTAGTCAGAAATCAGGAGGTACACTCTTTCTTTCTTTCTCTTCTCGCCCCCTTCCCCCCAATCTAAAGTTCTGCAAATCTTCTTGCTAGAAACCTTGGGGGAGAAAGTGTTTTGTAAGAATTGTCCTTGCTGAGAAAGTTCTTAATTAATTAGGAAAGGAGTTATTTTTTCATCCTCTCAATCAGATAAAATCGTATTAAAGTTTTGACTGTTACATGCCAAGGTTTTCAAGGCACAAGAAGACGTGGGGCAGTTATTTCCCACCACAAAATGAACAGACTCTTGAAACTGTAGAGAAACATTCTTCTAGCCTGGCTGAAAAGCTGACCCTATTACAGAACCTGTTGTCTCCAGCAGTACAGTCTCTGCCAGGCTTCCTTTCTTCCAACCCCCTTCTGAGATCACCTGAACCAGACAGCACAATGGGATGTCTGCAGTGCCTAGAGTCACCCTGAGTATTTTGGGTAATTCAGCCATCCTGCGTAAAAGAATGAAAGTAACTTGTGGCTGGGAAAAGCAGAAGCATGTAATAGATGATTTGATTTTCTTGGCCTTTATATGTGATTTTGTAAGTGCATATCCTTGTGCTTGTGTATGGGAAGAGGGTGAGGAAGGTCGCTTTGTGGGGAGGGCAAAAGAGGTTTAATTCAACCCTCTATGTAAATTCCTTGTTGTGTCTTTCCATTCATTCTAAAACTTTGCATTCTTCAGCTGAATGTAATGACATCTTACTTCCTCAAAGGAAACTTGAGGTCCTAAGAGGCCTTTGCTAAGTTTCTGTCATTGCAGTGATGTCGGAGTTTCTGCCCCTCTGCTGCTGGTGTGGAGCTCTGAAGTAACATGAGGCAGCTTTCCATATTTCATAAAGAATTCAGAGGCTTTCAGCAGTGTTCAAATGCAGGACTAGGATCGTTTTATTATTAAAAAGAAAGAAAAAAAGAAAAAAACCCTATCAGTTTACCTATTCCACCAAAACCACAGAGCCTGTC